ACGAGCAACCAATATTTATTATTGTACTAACGTACATTTTACTAATGAGATGCAACAAAACCACAGTGTAATAAGAATAATACCTCATTTTTGTCACGCAACCTATGAATACTACATTCAAAGCTTGAAAATTGCGGTGATAACCTTTAAATAACAGATCTTTAAATTTAAATGCTCCGTTATGTCAGTGGTATAACAGCTGGAATTTTATAGCATCAACTTCCAAACAATGATGATCTACTTATTATAGTCATTACTTTTGTAGGATTAACGTTATCATATATGCCTCTACTATCTTTAGAAATTGTTATTGTGACTCTATCAAAAGTCAATAATCAATCATTGCATGTAGCTTACATCTGTATTAAAACTTGATGTTTTTCAATATCGAAGTATCTTGTAGAACTTAACCTACAGCAATCGAAACCGTACCTCACCATAATCAAAGATCACATAGTATACTTGTGAAAGAGCCCCATTACTTAAAACCCACATATCATATCGCTCGTAGTAGAAGAGAAAGCATCCTATATATCGCGTTTGTCGTTTATTCAGAAAGGTGGAAAAAGTGTGTGGCTTATATTTTTAGAAACTGTGTTATTTCCTTCATACGACTCTGATTGGCGTTAAGGAATTTTATTACTTTATTGTTTGTGCCATGATATTTTATTTTATGGATCTTGAAATCTCATTTATTATCATTATTTTAATTGGAAAAGCAGTTGTATCACGCTGTAAAATGACCAAAAATATCCGATACAAATTAATGAATTGAATTAATGAATCGTGAAATTAGAGGCATTCCTGCCACCATAAGGAGCTAGTGCATAGGCCGCTTAAGCGGGCCCTTATGCACCTCTATATTCCTTAGATCACAAGCCTCGCCCATTTAGCGAAGTTGAGAATCGCCTTGAGTCCAAGCTCCTTGACGTGCTGAGGGTCCAAAGTAATGGACCCCAGTATAGTCTGCTTATAGTAGCTCATCCAGAGCTATCCGATACAAAGCTAACGTATTCAATACAATAAGGATAATACGTGCAAGAAGAAAATCGGTACAAATTACTGACAACAAGCTTAATTCGTACTGGTATGTTTGTAGAATCAGAAATTGTTAGATAAATGAACATAAAAGGTTCACTTTTTGTCTAACCAGTATCAAACCGTAACCATGAATTGCGGCAGCTATATACAAATCATTTCTCAATAAACGGAAAATATATTGGCAGCATGCAGCATGAAAAATGGATCAGTATCATGAGATAACTCAATTGGGTATTCAATGGACTAGATATTACAAATATTATATTGGAGTTGGCTAACAAAAATCAAGGCTATAGAAAATGTTATGCGGAGAGATTTTGCAAAAAATTAGTTTTATATGGTGTACAAGAGTCAAGATATAACAACTTCAGCTGGCAGCGAGAGAATTTGACCTTTATAATGACACCTATCTAAATTCAAGTGTACACTATAAAACAGTTTCCGCATGTAAAAAACATGTAAACATCCCAAAGAGTGGATTTTTCCAATGGAAAGGGATGTCATCGGTACTTCTGTTCACCATAGATTCTTTTCCGAAGATGGTATGATGGCTCTGGGTCTTGCACTTATCATAGCTTCATTTCCCAGAATTCGAGTATGGTCTGTTCTTCTGAAGATATTTCTTCATCTCAAGTCAGCAACACACCTAATTCATTTGTAATTCATGGATACTCCTAGCAGAGCTGACCTCTCTTATTAAAAAGCAGCACACCTTTAATTTGATTATTACTCAACCAACAAACGAACCTGCAATAACCGCAGATTTGCATTTCAAGGAAGTTCCAGCTATGAAAAAGTAAACTTTCTATTTCCTAAACTAGCATAAGCGTTTACATTTAGTTGTTTGCAAAATGTACAGGATAGAATTTTTGTTCTTCGATATGGTTGGCGGTCGTACAAAAACATGATAAGGTTTTTTTTAATAAATTGTCAAAAAGACACTCACCAAAATGGTAATATTTTTAAGCCTTTCAGTATTCTTGAACACGTTAGCATATTTTGGAAAATATTCGTAATGCTCCGATATTTTTGTTGTATATTTCTTATTATATTGCTAATGCACCAATTTTCAAAAATATAACTGAATTAGTAGTTTACCGCGTCGCAAAATACCGATGGATTAGTTTACATACTGATGAAAACTATAGTAGAAACAGACATACGAAGTCTTTTTGAATTAAATAGTTTATTGTTATTGTCAGTGGATAACAAAAATTGCTATTTTTCATCCATGATAACTGTTTTGCTCAAAATGCATTATCTTGTTCCTCTAACATTTACATCAAATATGAAGAACTTTGTTTTAATTGCAACGATATAAGTACACTCATCTTTACTACTTCCTTAATAGCAGAATAACCTTAATGACCAGTTATTTATGAGCTTCAAATTATATGAACCAGGCTACTCAAATGGTTAAGTAGCAAAATGATATGAACTGTCGTGTATATAAAATCAATAAAAAATCAAGGTCCAACTGGATGACAAAAGTTTTTATGTTATGAGATCTAGAAGGGAACCTAACTATTATCAATGATTGATTGACCAGTTTTCTGGACCTTCTGAAAAATGTTTGACCAAACATACAGTTCCTTTTTTTTCAAGGGACTAATTTTTCGGTCGGTATGTAGAGTAACAATGGACAAAACGTTCAGTTATTCACCATTAGACGTAAGAGCGAGTTTTCACAATCTCAGAACTGAATGAAAATCAAACGCCTTGCGCTGTTAAGTTCACATTTCTTTGGCTACAAGCATGCAAGCTATTACTACGCTTAACCGGTATCATTACCCGATTGATAAATTGCATCGAAATGTACGCTTTCCAATCCTAAGCCTGAATCAGACAGCCAAAGGTTTGTTGCAGCAAATGTAGAAAAATCCTGTAAATTGCCAATACTAAAAGCCGTATATGTTGAAGAAGCGCTATATTTTGTATGTCACGGACCGGCGAAAACCATAAAATAGAAAGTTACAGGTTACAGGCAGGGTCGTCAGCAACAACTACATAACAGTTGAGCATCGTCATCGCAACACAGCCTAAAATAACATCCATCGCCCACTCGATTGCAGTTTCTGTTTACTCTTTTATACTCCATTGTTTTTTCTGTTCGATTCTTCGCTGTTAACGACTTCTAGCGCCTCATGTTGTGAATGTTTAATGTGCCAGACTTGTAACGAACGCCCTGTACAAGACGGTTCTCTTTGTAATCCGTTGTTGGGCAATACGAGGTGCGAATGGTCAAGGAAGAGAGTACAACAAACGTAGCTTTCATTTTCAGGCAAAAGTATTTTCAATACAATTATTTTCATGCGAGACTATCCTATAAAAATGAATCATGAATCAACTTATTAACTTCGTCCTGCGTGGCAACTTGACAGATTATTTTTTCTGGAAAGGTTAGACGCAACTTCTAAATCTATGTATCTGACTATCTGTCCGCTAATTTTTGGGTCCGCGATACCTCGTAAAGCACCGCTTCAGTTTGGACAAAATGTGCACATGCACATATTTTCGATACATTTGCCATTAAAACAAAAATATTTCATATTTACAAATCTGGTGAAGGTGCACGTAAAATCCATCTTGAAAAAATCTTTACCCGAGTTCACAAACCTAGTCCAGTCGCAATAGCATTTACCTTTTAAATAGGCTTCCTGTTGTTTTTTATACTTTGTATTTTAGAAGGCACTACACCTACAAGTCACTGCGGGTTGTATAAATAAAACTAAAAATTAATTCGGACATGATTTAATTGATGACATGATTGCGTGAGCACTCAGTCAATCTGCTTGACGCCATTCTTTAGATCTGATGGATTATTCTTCTAATCTATCTTATCTATAGCTTTTAGCTTCCGAGTTTGAGAGTACATTTTAGGTAGCGGAAAAGGCAACCAAGGCCCACATTTATAGTCGAGCCTTAAACTGAGTTTTTGAAATATTTGAGGCCTTGTAAAATTTTGCTTACTCAAAATGAATTTTTTTCTGAAAATTTTGAAATCTTGTTAATCTTAAAGATATTGGGGGGCTCAAACCGTTGGAAAATTTTGATGAAGGTCTTAAAATCCTAAAAATTTGAGGTTTCGAATTTTTGTTAAATCTGTTATGATAATTGTTACAGTACTGTAAAATTTCGACTTAAGGGTCACCCTAGTGACGACTTCAGTTCAGGAGGAGCCCGTAGAATGAACAAAAAAATCTTGGTGCTAACATATGTCCGACTTTCATAAGTTTTTAGCCTTCAAATACCAATTTGAACATTTTGGTTTAATTTTTACGAGTTTCTGTTCAGAATTTCAGACTAACTACAAAAAATATTCTTAAAGAAATGGTGCAAAAAACGTTGTTCACCCCTTACAGAGCTTGGAAGTAACATAGGCGTGCTTTTGCGACAAAAATACATGTAAGCAGCATTTTATTCTTCCAACGGGAAAAATGCTTTAAGGTATTCTTCAATATTTTTGAAGTGATATGATACAAAAAAATAGTGGGGAGAAGAAGAAAAAATATATCTCGCTAAAAAAATTGCCAAAGACTTATTTTCCTGTTTTTAAGAGGCAAAATGAACTTTTTTCCCATATACATTGTGAATCATCACAAAATAGACATCTATGTTTATTGCTCCATAGTATACGAAGTGAGTGTCAAAACTTTGAAAATGGGTTTAAAATATTTGAGCCGACCTGTTCAAGCCGATGGTCGGTACCTTTTATTTCCGAGGCAAGCCAGTTCCTAACTTAAAACATGCGAATTATGTACAGCTTTGCAAATTTTGGAATGAATAAGTAACCTCAAGCGCTTCCAAAATATTTTTTGACTACCCCCTCCCAACAAATCGATAGCTACGTATGTCATGATAGTTACAATAAAAATTGACTAATTCGCCTATAACAAGATCAGTATTTTATACTGTTATATTGTTTATGTTCTAAATCTCCCTTCTTATATGGATTCTAGGCCTACCACAAACCCCACAGCGCAGCGGTCCAGATCACCAAGATAGCAGCGGTGACAGTGGTGCTATGCTCAGTCGTCCTGGGGTGCTTCCTGTTAGCCTCTGCATACGTCACAGCTAATGCTTCCTGCAGGCAGTTGGAACAGGAATTGGAACTCCTCAGTGAGGCGGCAGATAGGTTCCAGTCCCCGCCTCAACCCGAAGCTTTGGTGCAGGTAAGTCCACAATCACTTTTCTTTTTCTTCTTATTCTTCTTCGTCTTGAATAACTGAAAGAAACTGTACCTACGTGTTTTCAAGAAACTGTACTCTTTAATCTGTCATTGATAAGAAAGTCCCTCCCTAGATCAGTCTATCGATAAGTAGAAGGAGAAAAGTTGCAGAAGTTGCGTCGTCATCCATTAATGTCACCTTCAAAGACGGAGTTAATTTTGTAACTGTTTTTTGTGTGCAAATTTGCTATCTTCTAAAACAACATCCTAGAAGCTCTTAAACAATAAATACCAATAAGACGAAAATGATCCCACTGGCGCAATTATTTTTTTCTTTTGTATACTTGTTTTCAACAACGAACGACCGGTTTTGCCACGCTGTGCCAGCGCCAACGATGTTTTCTTCGGTCCAAAAACAAAAGTGACTTGGGCTGAGCCGCGTCAGCTTTTTTTGTTGGCATTGCATAACCTCCAAGTTCGAAGAACGAAGAAAGAGAATAGTCCAGGCACTATCTGTACAGAGAGTGTCGGCTTCTGCTTAAATGTCTGAACAAGACTAACATTTACGACTCTGATATCCTTGGAAAATCACCTCCCTACGTATTCCCACAAATCTTCAGTCTTGGCGCCATATTCCGAAGTCCAGCTCAAGCATCGCCACAACTAGGCATAGCGCGTAGTAGTAGCAGTGGGGAGGTGAAACTAGGTCACCTTTGACAATTTTTGTCGACTCCGTTGTACCAACACGCTACTCCACAAGCCATCTCCTGGTAACTGATTATGGAATAAACCAGCTCCAGCGACGCTACGTACTTATATTGATCTTGCACCGGTGTGGTGAGTAATATATACAACAGACAGCACAACATCCATGCCTCGGAATTCCCGAGGCGGAGATTCGAACCCGCTAGCCTTCGGGTAGACCGATTAGTAGCCCCACGCGCTAATCATTCGGCTGCCCAGCACAGGCATAGCACTTCAGATCATGTAAGACGTTCGACAACTTGAGGTACCTGAATCTCTTCTTTGAGTACTTGGTCTTTGTCACTGAAAGATCCACCGATGCCCAGTAATGGTTTCTGAGAAATCAATACTCCAATGCATCCGAACACCCTCTAAAAAATGTTGCATGGCTTTCGAAACCTTCAGGTTTCCGAGAGTGCAACATACCAGGGAATATTCTTTGGGTAACAGAAACAGGTTTTAACGTTCTTTCCTGGTTACTCTAGGCCTTGCTTTTGCTCTGTTATTCTAGGCCGCTATGAATAACTTCTACATGACTGATATGAGGCTCTTAGGCATTATTTAACCCTCTTTTATTGCGGGTTGTGAAGCCACGTAAGATTGCGTAAACTTCTCGATTAGCTTTAAGAATTCTTTCTTTAATGAGGCCGTCCCTGCTTACTGTTTTATTAAGATTGAGACCAACGCATCATATTTGATCGTCGACGGGGGTTGCGTATGTATGTCCTAAAAGTTTTGGCACAAAATATTTACTATCTAGTTATCATAAATTACAACTCAACATTTAACTAAACTATAATATCGACGCAACTTACTTCGAATGTCTCTCATGGGGTCCTGGACAGAATTCAGATCAATTTATCTCAGTTTTTCGTAAATTCTCCTACTTAATTGTTCTTCATCTTTGGCTTTCCAGCCTCCGTGAGAAACCTTCGTAGACAGTAAAGCCCAAAAATCCTCTATTGGGCGAGCCAGTGGGCCAGTTTGGAGGATAACGCTTTTTGGGATCAAAAGGTATGTTGTGTTGTTGGAACCAGTTTTTGGTTCCTCTTGAGAATGGCATGAGGCTAGGTCTGACCAAAACATGATATGGTCATTAGCATGATGTTTGTGGACAAACTGGAGCAATCTCAAAAGGCAGTTATCAATATAGCTCTGACCATTCAAAGCTTCACCCCTCATTCTTCCCACAAAAGGTTGGGATACACCCCTGTTGGAAATCGCGCATCAGAAAAGGATTTTATCTGCAAATTTCGCTCTATGTTTGTATCTACCATTGTCAGGACATTCCTTTACATTGTCCGTATAAGATCCGTTGTTTCCCTTTATTTCAGAATTACTCAAAGTGAAATTCTTTTCGTCATCTAAAATAATGATTTTCCCATTGGCAAAGTGTACCTGTCTCAGTTGATGACAGCATCTTGGTATATGAAGGAGTTGCTTGAGAGTATTTGGGGTTTTTAAATCTCTTTCGATATTTAAGATCATTCCTCCTCAATTCCAACGATATTGTACTCTTAGAAGATCCGTATTGACGGGCTAGTCTCCTTGTTGACATTCCAACCTGATTTTTTGCTCTTCTCACCAATCTCTCTGCAGTAAATGGACGTGGTATTTTTTTTTTGGGAGATTCAGACATGGTATTCCCTGCTCGCACTCAAATATTGTTCGATAAATGGTTCTGCGTGAAATGTTGTCATTCCGGAATATTCGACCGATTTCAGTTTTCGGTGTCCGCCAACCAACTCTTTTTTCCAATTCATACGACATCTTAAAGCCAAAACTGATACTTAAGTAAGTAAACGAATAAACTTTTGTTTCCAAAGGCAACCTGATATTATTTTGTGTTTGTTAAAATTAAAGCCAATGAATTTTGGGCCAAAACTTTTAGGACATACGTTACTACTGTTCGCTCTCCATTCCCGCCAAACTTGATACCCTCCATTTTCTGCTAATTACAAGTAAGCCCCTCACCGAACATAGTACTCAAATATTTCTTCCATTGCTATGGCTATGGCTGTGTTTTGCTGTTTGGATTCATTTAGCACGAACAGATCATCAGCGTATTGTGCAACCATCTCAGTACAAATGTCGCCTGAACTAAAGTTTGAAGAACGAAGAAGCCAGAAGATACGAAATAGGCGTCGTGAAGATGAGTTGCAGGTCACGTGGGGCCAGCGAAATCTGAAATGCACCGTTGTGCGCGTCGCATTGCGAATTATGTAACACTTTCGTTGCAATTTTTCCACTTCCTGTTGAGGTGATTAACCTCCCGTTCAATATGAAACATTATTAACTAATTATATTCACCGCGTACCCACTGTTGCAATTGGTCAGTAGACGCTTATCTGTCTGCCAGAGGCGTACATCTATATGCAAGATAAATGAAATGTAGAGTAAACAGTAGACTATAAAATACACTTATGTGTCAGATGGGAAGGCCAGCCTTCTTGCCGACCCCGTAGTGCCGCCACTGTATCATGAGCCATCTACTGGTATGTGATTATTGAATCAACCAGCTTCTGCAATGCGGTGTACCTATGTTGATCTTGCACCAGTCTAGTGCGTCAGGTACCAGCGAAATGCAACACAGAAATATTTGGTAAAATCGGAACGTAACAAAGTTTTGTTAAACTGTATTTTATTTCGACAGACGATTGGTACACTGTTCATTTATAACGTAAAGATGTGAAATGCTTAGGATTCTGTCAATAATAAAGAATGCTCTGGGTCTTGAACAAAAATTCCCTTTCATGTACGTCGGCATTCACTAACGTTTACTAGCTTCTTCAAGAATCTACTATGTAAGTATTTTCAAATTTATAAGTTTCTTTATGTGATAAGTATTTATATACTTACGTTAATACATAGCTGTAGACTCCTTATGAAGCTTCTAAATCTAAACATTAACACTGAAGCTAGATGTATAACCGCCAGCATCTCTATTAATCTCACATCTTTGGAAACGGGTGTAATTGAATACAACTTTCCCTCAAAAAATCTTGAGAAATCCCACGAAACTGTTGACAACAAATGCCAAGTTAAAAAAAAATTTCCGTCAATATTTCCAAAAATCCTCGATCTGGTTTTTAAGATAAGATCTATGATTGGTCAAAGTCAATAGACTTATTTCTGACTCACCGCTAACCATCGTTAGAACTCTAAGAAATCTAAGATACCAAATAAGATGAAACCAAAGTCATTAATGCAAATTTGAATGCTAGTGAAAAAAATCTGTAAATATTTATCTAGTTGAACCGGTATACCTTCAACGGAATCTTCCATACGAAGAAACTAGCGGGGAACTTGTGAGTGAACCTTGAAATTTCTGTACGCTGATGAATGACGTCATCGTGTAAACAAAAGTGTAGAACCTGATTTGTATTCCTGATGGCCACGAACATGATGCTTGCTTTGTTCACGAACATGTTTTCTTCTTTCTGCTGCTAAAATGCAATTTGAGGCGCCATTGTCTACAACTTGTTCTAAAACGAGCTTTGAATCATAAGTGGTTGGGCTCTTATTCTTAATCGATTTCCTATTATTGTCTGTCAGAGCGGTTTTTAGTACATACTGTACCAATACTATAACATTTGTTACCAGATCAGACCCTAGGACATTTGTTCGTGGTTAAAATCTTGTGGGCTAGTAGGTCTATTAGGTCTTGTTGCTAATGTGGGTTTGAGTCAAAGCCAAAGATAATTATGGAAAAAGTATGCAATGATGTAGAGCCGGGACCAAATAAAAGGAGTTTCTGATTTTGAAATACAATAATCAAACGTTTTAGATTTGGAAAGCACTTAGTCCCGACCAATGAATTCGAATAGGTTAGGGTTAGGAGGATCCAAACCAATATGTTTGCATTGCTGTGTTTGTTCTCGAACTTGCTAGGTTTAAGCGCACACTTTTGACTTACTTATCTACCACTAAATGACAGTGTTGTATCAACGTAGTAATAATAACATTTACCGGTGGAAACAACTACTTTAATTAGGCTTGTGCCGTTCTTTGCAAATTATGTGAGAATACCTCGTCTTGAAATCGTCTATCTGCAAACACACACAATTTTTTGAAATAACACTAGAAATATAAATTTAATGACAGAGCTGTCAAAAAATCTACTTGTGCCCAATGCACTTTCAGCCTCATTACAGACTATTATAATTGGGAGTCAAACATATTCTTGACTGGCTCCCTCTACCTAGAATCAATTCCTTGGTCCGGACTATATCAAGAACGAGCTTAAATCTTGCTAAGAGA